ATTTATTAATATTTTAAAATGAATATATAATATATAATATTTGTAAAATAATATAATTTTTTTCTCCAGAATTATTTTATATATAATATAAAATAATAAAATAAATAATAAAAAATATAAAAAATATAAATAATAATAATATAATATAAATAAATATAAATATATATAATAAAAATATAAATAATAAAAAATATAAAAAAATAACTTTTTAATTACCTCTAAAAAAATTTAATGAACGTAAATTTTCTCACATTTAATTAATCGTATTAAATTAAGCACAAAAATTTCGAACCTATCATATTGAAAATATCAAATTAATAAAATTTTTTGAATTAATGATCATTGATGAATCATATCAATAGATTTTAAATTTTTATAAACGCGCATTGCTAAAATCAAAATTTATCAAATTATCTTATATTATCTCATATTAAACATTTAAAATATAAGAATTTGTATCAATTAATTAAAAAATTAATTCGTCACTTTTTATTTGGAAACATTTTATTTGGATTATTTTCTGATTACTCATAATTAAAGAAATTACGTTTTATATTTACATATTAATGTAAAACATAATACATATTAATATAAAACGTAAATTTTTAAACAAAAGAAATGTTTATTTTTTTCCACAATGAAAAAAATGTATATAATACTAGAATTATCAAATAGTTATCACATTTTTTGTTTTACGATTAGAAATATAAACATATTTTTGGTAAAATTAATATTGTATTTTATTAAAAGAAAAATAAAAATATATATAATAATATTTATTTATTTATTTTCATAGCATTATTTTAATCACAATTATTTATAATATTTAAATATTATTTAAAATATTTAAATATTATATTATATTATTCTATTATTTATTATAGATTTCGTATTACAAATTAATAGTATTAGCATTAACAAACAATAAGTAAAATTATTCATTCATTATTTCACTTTCAAGAAATAAACACAGTTTAGTTTGAAAAGGAAAATGAAAAAAATAGAATTCGCGGTATGTTTTCCAAATCCAATTGTAGACCAAGAAATACCATAGAAGGAAATTGCAAATTACGACTGGTAAAATTGGTAGGAAATTTATGCGTTTGTACATGTAGTAGTTGATGAACTGTTTAATATATTTATAATATATGTTTAATATATTTATAATATTCGCGTTTTATAAATTAATATAACTTTAAAAATTATTATCGAAAATTATATTACAAAATAAAAATTATTTTATAAAATATATTGAAATATAATATATATAATTTTATAAAAATTATTATTGAATTTTAAAAGTGTATAATGTCTTTTTTATTTTAAATTTTACTTTAAAACAAACAAAAAAAGCTTAATAAAAACTATTAATTTTAGAGTTAGAAATATTTTTATCACTGATTATAAAATGTTACTTTTATAGCATATATCGATGTCCTCCATTCATTTCGTCACTATTTCTATATTTTCTCTCTTTTCTGCATATATGTTGAAATCTCTAACGTCTACAGTATTAATATACGTATATAGTTTTAATATATATAATATATATAATATATATAAAATTTTTTTGGAAAATCGATTTTAAATCCCAAAATAAACACAAAAATAAATACACTAAAATGCTGGTTGACAATTACAATTTAAATTACAATTTAAATTTAGATGAAATAAAACAAAATGACAGTGATATAAAGGAGAGAGATTTATCTTATTCTATTTTTGTCTCGTTTTATCTAATATAATCTATAAACTTTAATTTTTCATAATTTAATAAATAAATCTGCAGAAAAATTTTTATATATTAATTTCTGTGTTTGGTTTTGATTTCTATAATTGATTTTCTAAAAAAAATTCTTTCTAGAATTCTCTCTAACGAATATATTTACTATTTACTATATATTATATTATTTAATTGAGTTTATATTGAGTTGCCATTTTGAAAAAATAATACAATACTATTTTTTCTTTTAGTATTATAATTGACGAATTTATTTTTTATAAAATATTTTTGATATTATACTATTCTATCTATATATGTACATATGATACAATATATATGTTAATATTTGTTAATCACTATTATATAGTATGTTAATCATATTATATAATATTTATAAATTATTTATATAAATAATTTAATAATTGACAATCAGTATGCATAAAGGATGAACAGTTTGTCAATAATTTATTTTCATATAAATTTGAACGGGATCTTTTTAAGTTTTTTTTTTTTTTTTTATAATGTACCTATATCTATCTTTATATAAGAGAGAAAAAAAACTATTAAATACAAAATTGATATATATTCATTATATCATTATAACTTAGGTTATTAATTTAGTTTTCTAAAAATATTTTATATATAATGTTTTTATTTTCACATTCCGCAGATTCAAAGGATCCTATACTATCACAAATAGGTAAAATTCAATGATATAATAATAATAATAATAATTTTTTGAAAATAATTTGAAAATAGCTAATTTTCGACGCGTAGAAAAAAGTGAAAATGATGCTCTTTATGATTTATTATAAAATCATTATGAAAAATTATTTATATCGATAAGAAAGAATTTAATCGATAGATATTAACTGTGTATAATGGATGCATTTCCGATTAACAAAGATTGTATAAAAAAATAATTATCAAGAGTAATATTTAAAAGAATATATATATAATTCGAGGTAATTATTGTAGGATGATACTATTCTTAATGTTACTATGAAATTTTCGCAAATCTAATAATAATTCCTAATCCTAAAATGCGAAATCATGTTATTTAAACGTCTAAACTCTACACTCTATACTCTACATTCAATGTGACATTCATACCGTTTCCTTCCTTGGTATTCACCCTTGAAAAGATCTTCACTTATCTAGATCAGAAAGACGAGAGCATGCGAGGTGAAGGACTTTCTTTAAGCATTGGAGGTACAGCATAAGATTCTTATAAAGAATCGAAGGTGAAAAAAAATGATAGAAATAAATGCGAGAAGAAAGTTACCAAAGAAAACGATTTTTTTATTATAAACGATTAATTCTAAAAAATTTTTTAATATTTTTTTATATAAAATAATAATAATAAAATTTTTATTAATAATAGATATGATATCAATCTTTCTCATAATTTTCAAACATAGTATTCAAATACTTATAATATCGATATAATATGTATGCTATCAATACATATCATAATATCAATGTATCATGTGAAAATTGAGTATCGAAATTATTCAAATCGATATTGAATTGAATTTAGCAATTAAAAAGAATCGAAAAAAATTAAATCTGATGAAATCATACATATTATACGTATTATATTCATTGATATCAAATATGAGAGAAAAGAATATAGAAAGATATAGGATGTAGCAAAAGTCAATCAATATTTAATTATGATTTCAAGCCATTTTTTTATGAAAATTTTCGTTTCGGCTTTGTTAGTGAATTATTAGTGATAAAAATAGTGGTTAATTATAGATCCCATAGATATGTCACAAGAGATAACATTGGATATTTGTTATTAAATGGAATTTGAATAAACTGGTTGAATTCGATGCACTATCTACTTATTACTATAAAATGAAGTTATAGTTAAATAGTTAAAAAATATCTCATAAAAAATATAGTACAAAATATATTGTTTAAAAAAATTAAATTTATTTATAAATTAATTGTTTCTTAGTAATTTAAAATATATTTTATGCACATAATAGATATATAATTTTTATTTAATAGCAGGCAAAAGTAAATTTCTATTTAATAGATTCTATTTAATGGATTTTTTAAGCTTTTTAAGATTTTTAAATAAATTACAACAAATCGAGTATCAAAATGAGAAGAAAATAAATATTTTAGATTTTTAATTATAATAAGTAAATTAATAATTAAAATTTAAAAATTGATTTCAATTTGATTCTATTATATTATACTAAAAAATAAACCAAGAATTTTATTTTGTATAAATAATTTTCAATTTTCTTTTCAAATAATCTTATTTAAGAAAATTAATAATATGTATTTAAATATAATTATCTATCTAAATAATTATATTAAAATAAATCATATTTGGTCGTCATATAGTAATTATATGACGACCAAATTTTTAATATATGTTCTTTTTTAACTTTTTAATATATTTCTAATATATTTCTAGATCAATATATTTTAGAACCAATATATTTTTTCTCTATCTAATATTATTATTAATAATAAAATTTGAAATTGTTTCGAATGAATATTGTATTATATATAATCAAATTTTTTAATTTTTCAAAATATAGCAATTTTTAAAATTTTTGGAAATTTTGAAAATATTAATTAATTAGAAATTTTTGAGAATTATATATTCTATTTCATTATTAATATATCATTATTATAATTATCTACTTTTTATTCTTGTTTTCGAGTCGAAGTTATTATATATAACCAATTTGTCAATCTTTAAAAAACAAGTAATAAGTAATGCAAGTAAAACAAAATTCTCAAAAGTTTCGAATCTAAAACTTTTCAACATTTTCAAGATTTTAAAAAAATTTTAGATTTTGAATTAACTTTAAAGTAATCTAAATTTTCTCTCATTTTATAGATATGTAGCAATGTAAAATTATATAATAAATAACGTCTAAATTCTATTCTTAAATTAATTCTAATTATTAAAAAATACAATAAAAATTTAAAGAAAAATATAAATATAAATTCAGAAAAAATATATAATTTTGTTTCTTAAAACAAAATTCAGTTATCCGATTTTATCCGCAAAATTAATCGGATTAAGCTAAAACAATAACCTCGTTTAAATCTTCGATCTACTTAGTAACCTTAGAACCTCGAAACAATACGTTCAAATTCGCCCTCCGAAAGAGTGTAAATCGCATTAATTAGATTCAATTCGGGACAAGCAAAAAATCAAGGATAACCCCCCAATTCGAGATATCGAACAGAACGTGGAAGCCATTTTCATGCAGTTTTGTTGACCCATCCATTTCTGTTGCAGCAACTGAAAGATGAGTTGGGTGAAGTGGTGGCTGAAATGGAAGCGATGGAGGGCGGTGGTCTTGCCACCGATGAGACCAAGCCATCGAATAAGGCTAAGCAGACGTCGATCGGCCGTAAGAAGTTCAATATGGATCCTAAAAAGGGCATCGAGTACCTGATCGAGCACAATTTGTTAGCGCCAACGCCCGAGGACGTTGCCCAATTCCTCTACAAGGGCGAAGGTCTTAACAAAACTGCGATCGGCGATTATCTTGGTGAAAGGCACGATTTCAATGAGAGGGTGTTGAGGGCATTCGTCGAATTGCATGATTTCACCGATTTGATCCTCGTGCAAGCCCTTCGACAGTTCCTTTGGTCGTTCCGATTGCCCGGCGAGGCGCAAAAGATCGATAGAATGATGGAGTGCTTTGCACAGAGGTACTGCCAGTTGAATCCAAATATATTTACGAATACGGACACCTGTTACGTGCTCAGTTTTGCTATCATCATGTTAAACACGTCCTTGCACAATCCGAGCGTCAAGGATAAACCTAGCGTGGAACAGTTCATATCCATGAACCGTGGAATTAACAATGGCGGCGACTTGCCTCGAGAACTTCTTGTGGTAAGTTTTTTATTTATTCTTGCTTGATGTATATATATATATATATATATATACATCATAATCGAAAAAATCTCCATTATATTATCTCTCCATTGTGTTATTATCTTAAGAAAATTTATCCAAAAAAAAACTCTGATTTTAATAAAAGTTCGTACATATGTGAAAAGATTATATATGGAGCAATTTTTTTATTAAAATCTTTTTAAGAGAAAAAAATCAAAAATCTAAATTTTTTTTTTATTTTTTTAATATTTACTCAGAATTTTTTTTATAACATATTATAATAAAGTTAAATATTATAATAAAGTTATATAATATATATAAAAGTATAAGCATTTATATATAAAAGTAATAAGCATTTTTTATTTGAAAAATTTTATTTTATATAACATAATATTTATATTTAAAAAATAAAAAAATCATTGAAATTTTTAGCACTAATTTAATCTCCTTTAAGTGATAAAATTATTTCATATATACACTTATTTTTGTTATAAATAAAAAAAAATTCTTTTATCTTTTATTTATAATGAAACTTTATGAATGTGATCTAATATAGAATAAATTATATATAATAAATTATATATAGGGTATCTTTTTAAAAAATGCTGGAACTTTAAACTTTAAAGACTTTACTTAACTTTACACACAAAGGTGATTTCACTTTCTCAAAAAAATATTCTGTTGTAAATAAAATTGCTCCATATGTATTTAATAATATGAAAGAAGAAATTAATTTCAAATGAATTAAGGATATAATTTATAAACGAATAAAATTTAATTCGTTTATTAAGTAAATTAAAAGATATAAAATTCATAAATAAATAAGGAAAAATTATATCAATGACAAAATTTTTATTTAATGGAAATTTAAATAGAAAAAGAAAAAATTGAATAAAAAAGAAAATATCGGATCAGAAGAAATAATTCGTTATATCAATAAGAAAATATACTTTACGATATTTATATATTTATGTATATGATGATTACATTAAATAAAATTTTCGTATCTAAGATTAATACTTCATGTATTAATTGCCAACAAATTCTTGATAAATTTGCTCATATTTAGTTTTTTTAAAAATTATATTTATTAATATGAAAGAATGATATCTACATCAGTAGAAAATTTAGCTTTTACGAAATTTATTCAAACGTTATAAATTTTTAAAACCTCATATCAAGATCAAGATAATTCAATTAATTTTTATTCAATCTACTTCAAATTTTAAATAATACTCCAATACTCATTCTTTTCAAATATAAAGATACTTTCTAATATTCATTCTTTTCAGGCACAAAAATATCAAATTTTTAATTATGTAACATAAAAGTTAATTATTATTAATATATTAATAAATCGTTAATATTAACAATAAATATATTGAAAAGAATTGATTCTAGAGATTTCAAAATAAACACAAAAATTGATATAAAAAAAATGTTACTTGCTTATTTTTATTATTATTAAGTTATAAGCAATTGAATTTTGTACTATATGAAACGAGACGAAAATAGAATGAGATTATTCTGTCTCTCTTATATATTGTTTTCGCATTTTGTTTCTGTTTTGTTTATTTAAATTATTAAATAATTTAAAAATTAAAATTTTAATTTTTAATTTTAAAATTATTAAATAATTAATAAAAAACGCGAATTTTTAAATTTTTTATCATAAAATAAATAAACGATATTTTTGTTTATCAATTTTTGATATATAAAATTGATCTTCCAAAGATATTATATTCGAATATAATATTCTCTCTATAAAACTTCTTTAGAGATACTACTTCTTTATTTGAATAAATCTATCACTGCAATATATTCGATTTTGATGAAGTAATTTTCTTTGGAATCAATTTCTTTTTACTGTTTCTTAAACAAATAGTTATTCCCTTACGCGAATAAGATATTGAAAAGAAAAATAGTCAGTTTGTTTCACAAAACGAGAAAATAAAATGTTAAAAGTGTATATTTTTCTTTTGAATATATTGTCGAATTAAATTTAAAATAAAATAAAAATGTTCTATATGAAAAAAATTTAATAAATCTTTTGATTTATTAATACTTTTAATAATGATATTTAAAAAAATATATTTTTCGTAATAAATTTTTTGATCATTTTTGTTTCATAATATTCCTTTCTTCTCTGTACAAATTTTTATAATAATAATATATATATACTAATTTTTTTTATTTGTAAAAATATTAAAAAATCATTTTACTTGAAAAACTATATATTATATTAATAATGAATAGATATTATTATACGTAGATTCTCCCTTGTAATTTCGAATCCTGTGACGATTAAATTCAAAATAATTGGTATATATAGATTGATATATAGAAATTCAAAATAATTCCAAATGATTTCAAATCTACTAGTTTCGAGACACGTTTTATAGCTAATGATGAGACCAATAATGATACAAATCTCATCATATATGTACATACATTATAATTATTTGTGATATAATCGGCAGAAGGTGATTTCTTATGAAAAAATAAATCGAAAAGGAAGAATAAAATTTTTTTATTTGAGATTTCATTTCCGAATAAAACAAATTTGAAAATTTATCAAATGTAAGTGAAAATAACTAAAAAATATAGAATAAAATTTTGTCGCTTAAATTTTTTTAAAAAAATTAGAGATAGAACATATAAAGAGAAAAATAACATACTATTAATAATTCATTTGTATCCAAATGTATTTGTTAATTTGACTTGTATTTAAAAATTTTCAAACTTAATTTAAAATGTACGAAAACAAAATTTTAAATGAAAAAATTTTATTCTTTTTATTTATTTATTTATTTATTTTTATATATTTATAGGATTATCTATTCTTTATTTATTGTATTATCTTTTTTATTAAAGTTTTAATAAGTATCAAAAAATATTATTTCAAATAAATATAAAATAAATAAATAAACATTCTAAAATTTATAATATATATATAAAAAATCTAACTTTTATTATATAGCGAATCCAAAAAGATTGAGAGATATTAATCTAAACATATTGCCGCATAATTTTTTTTAAAAATATGATTGGAAATTATTTTAATACAAACAATGAATTAAAAAATGCAATATTAAAATTTTAGAATAATAATTTTAGAGAAATCATAAATTCTTTAAAGAGAATTTATAATAAATAAATTAGTACTTCGTTAAAATAAATAGCGAAATTTGAAATAAGTTAAAATATCTAATAAAAAACAAATATTTCTTAAACAATTATAATACATTATTTATAATTATAAAATATTTGATTTGTATTTTTAAATATTTTATACAAATATATTATTATATTTAATATTTATACGTGAATTATATATTTATTTTTCGAATAATTACATTAGAATGCAATAAATATTCTATTTTTCATTTATTCTTAGGTACCAAAAATAAATTGAGTTTTTCATTATTACGTTATATACAGAGTGTCATCGATTTCACAAACTATAAACTGCAAGATGAATTTACATAAAAAAATAAATCGAAAAAAAGAATGTTTTTTTTGGTTAAAATTTCGATTAAATCGAATAATTCGAGATATTAAAGATTTGTTGAATCCATATATACTTAATTATATTATAAACTTTTTGTTGCGTATATTTCTGCGTATGAACCTTATTAATGCATGATTTGCTATTTTAAATTTGTTATTGTGTTGATATATAATAACAGAGAACATATTTCTATATTGCAAAAATAATATATCTATTAATTATTACAAATAATGAATAAATGATTTAAAGAGCGAATATTTGCAGAATATGCATCATTTGAAATATTCAATACGGCGCGGCGGCTGTTTTCCATCACTTAGAAGAAATGTACAAAATTAAATTTTCTAATTCGTAAAAACAGAATTTCAGAATTAATATAAAACTTATTACTACATATACAATTTATTTCTACATAATATTAGTTCAATTCAATTTGGATCAGTTATGGAGATACAATATTGGTCATTATGATTTTCTGAATTAACGTCATTCCTGATTATGGATTTACTTATAAGATTCCATTAAATCGCTTATTATGAGGATATTTTAAGTACTTCCAATAGAAAATATTATCTACAGTCTTCGTTTAAAAAAAAAAAAACATTTTAAAAAATATTCATAAAAGTTTTTACATAGAATTCAATATTGCCAAAAAGAAACAGAAAATATTATCAACAATATAAATTTTCAAAATTTTTGATTGAGATATGATTTTATTTTAATAATTTCTTAACATCTAAAGTTAAAAATCGAAATGATAATTAGAAAAACACAATTATATTTTTAAATATAAATATAAATAAAATCATATAAAAACATATATTCATTTCAGTAAAAATGTCTAACGAGTCTTCAACATAGATTTATTCAAAAATAAAATCTTAAATGAAAAGATGTTATCTTTTTTTTTTCTCCATATATAATATATATCATATATATACTATATATTCATAATATATATATTATAGCATATAATATGTAATATAAATATATAATAGCAATATGAACTAGTGTAAAAATTTCGTTAAGATTTACATAGATTTGATAAGATAAATGAGTCTTAACAAATACAATAAATAACACAAGCGTGTGTAATAACGAATTATTCGTATAAGTGACGATAGTGATGATATATGCGTATCATCATCTGCGCAATCCGTGGCCAGGATATAAAGCAATTGGCGCGTTTTATAAACGCCTTGTAACAAGCGTGATTATTAAAATTAATGCAATGGCTAACGGGGAAGTCGGTTGCAAAGATTTAATGATAGATTTATGCAAAGTGACCCAATGTTTCACCTCTCATCTACTATCATCTATTTAGAACATCTATTAAAACAAATCTATACAATCTATATCTATATAAACTATTATATTTATTTTGAAAGTAATATATGTAGAATTATGAATATCGATTATTGATATATTATTAATATCTTATTGATTATTAATTTTTGATATATCAATAATATCGTTAAGAATAAAA